GAAATGTTATAATAATAATAATAATAATAATAATAATAATAATATACGTACTGGCAGCACCTGCAGGCAAAATCCGTCTCCATATTTTTGCCTCTGGACCCAACAGCCCCTTTCTGGTCAGTCTACTGCAGTTCTGAGGCAGTTTCTGCCTTCCCCATCCCAAGTGTACCTGCATTTCTTAAGCAGCTCCAGACCCAAGATATTTTTATTATGAAAATAAACTTTCATTTGTTTATACAGGTGATTTCCCCCCTTCCTCTTCCATGTATTTTTGTACTGTCTCCCTATTTTCAAAAGTAAAGAGTGAGATAAACACATTGTTTGGCTAATGGGAATAAAGAATGCAATGATGTATCTGTTGCTAGGAAACAGAATAGTAGAGACTGAATACTATGTGCCCACTTCCATGACGGCACTTACCAGGGGACCCTATGCGGTCTCGATAGGAACAATGGTAAGATGGTGATCTCAGCTTCAGATGGCCAGAGAAGCTGTGGCGAAGTGTGGAAACCTTAAAACAGACCACTGATACACCAGAACTGGTTCCAGATGACACAGCAGGCCTACAACAATCATTTTTCACGATGGCTTCTTGTGTCGTTTAAGCCCACCTAGTATGTGAAACTGGGAAAACTGCAAATCTTTGCTTCATGGCTTCACTGGAACAAACTAAGAGGTATTGCATTCTGTGCAAAGTGAGGTTAGATCACAAATAAGGCTTTTTGTTTTTATTTGTTGTCCTGATTCCTTCACGGTTCCTGCCCCTATCAGCTTCTTTTTCCATTCCTTGATTTACTTTGCCTAATTGCTTTTCTACACATACATCTGCCATATTTACATATAAACACTATGTACCAACATGCACATACCATCTTATTTATTTATTCATAGACACACACACACACACACAACTGCCAAGGCCTTCCTAGGTGGCTTACATTCATTCATTCATTCATTTAGAGAACCTCTATGCCTCCCCCTTTGCCGAAGCCTCAGGGTGGCTCACAATCATAAATAAATAAACACAATATGTGGCTTACAATACTTTTATGTATGTATGCATGTAGAGAACTTCTATGCCGCCCTCTTCGCCGAAGCCTTGGGGTGGCTCACAATCATAAATAAATAAACACAATATAAAATAGTATAATTTAAGTCGCCCTGGCCCAAGAATAAAATAAATAATATTAACAATTAAAATAACGCTCGAATAAAAAGGTCTTCGCCTGGCGCCGAGAAACAAATGACGGCGGCACCAGGTGGACCTCTCTGGGGAGCGCATTCCATAGATTGGGCATCACCACAGAGAAAGCCCTCCTCCGAGTACCTATCCTCCTAATTTCCTTCACGGAGGGTTCCCGGAGAAGGGCCTCTCCCGCTGATCTCAAGGGGCGGACGGGCGGGCATATATGGACATTAATCTCACATGTACATCAGCACATCTTTCTTGGCTCTTCCATGGATAACCTTGCCCATATTCCCTGATCAATACACAGCTCCCTCCATTTCACAGCCTTGTCTTATATACACGTATTTCTTCAACTTCCACTGCTACTGGAAATGTTCCTGATAAGCAGGGTTTTTTTCCATCCCAGCCCAGCTGGCTTTTCCATATTATCAATAAGTGTGTGTTTTTGCTTTCTTTCCTCACAGACTTGCATATCAAGTCTTCTATGTACTACATTCTTTCTAGAGGTGTATGCAGATGTCTTACAGACAAGCCACCTGAAGTACATTGCTGTGTCTAGGCTTTACTTGCTAACTGTCCATTTCTGTCCGTTGACAGAATGGGCATAAAACTAGTTTATTCTGTCTGCTACTTGAGTCTTCTGGGAAAGACACAAAGGAAAGTACGTGAGAGCATCATTTAAGCTTAGCAAAGAATATTAAGCGAATTCTAGGGAGAGTGTGAGCATGTGACCTCGGGTTGTTGGGCAGGACAGAAAAATAATTAATAATCGCAAGGAACAACTTCATGAAGACTGCAATCTTATACTCCTATCTCGAATGAAGGTCCACAACTCAGTGGGGAGGGGGTTACACCCGAGGAGGCATAAGATCGCACTGTAAATCTTTCTCAGGAAGTGTAGAAAGGGTTTCACGAATTCTGGGCACTTCGCCATGTCGGGGTATCGTCTCATCAGTTCACCTCTATAAAGTCGGCTGCTGTCTCTTTAAGAACAGCCAGGGAGAGGGCCTGACTCCGAAGACTTGCGGTTCTTCCATAGACGCCTCACAGAAGTTGTCCTTGCCGTATCCTCCTAAGAGTTTCGGGATTCCCAAGTTCCTACGGACGAGCCCCTGCGCCGCTCCGCAACCAACCAGTCGGTTCCATATCACCCCACTTCTGCTGCCCCCGGAAATCCCCAAACCCACCTGAGCGCTCCTCAGTCTCGCTCCGCTGACAAGGCGGAACTTCCGGCTAGAACTGTTCTACACTTCCTGTTGGACCAAGGGGACGTTCGTTCCGACTCTATTGTTTTAACTGTTGCTTGCTAGGCTTGGTTCTTCGGGGGTTTAAAGGGGGATCCTCGAGTAGCGTCTTTCTTCTCAGTAGCGCTACTTGGGAGTAGCTTCTTTTAATGCAGGCATGAGAGGTCTTAATTTGTTATCGATGGCTGGCAAGCAGGTTCCTTCAAGGCTGCTAAATGCAGTGGCGGAAAACTTGAAAAAAATGGTACGCTTTCCCTGTGGCAGCCCAGCGTTGCCTTATTTAGAAACGTGTGTTCACACGGTAGCAGTCCTGCCCAGTTCTAACCGAGGCGACGGCTGTTTTGTGTAACGTTGCGAGGGATCTCATTTGGCACATTATTTGTAGTAGTATTACTTTGAAAGAACTACCGTATTTGGTACTTGAGTAACGGCTTTGCGCTGCATGTTCTTTTGGGTTTGTTTTTAAGTCATCCACTGCGAACCATGCGGGCCTGCAAGACAAGCGGAGCAAAATCATGGCCAGAGGACTTCCAAAGCAAAAGCCCATTGAAGGCGTTAAGGACGTCCTGGTTATAGCCTCTGGGAAAGGCGGCGTTGGGAAATCAACCACTGCTGGTAAGTCTATTCTGTTTTCTTTGGGATATTATTTCATGTAGGTCTCCATAAAGTATACATATGGCAGTTTAGATCTAGTTGAATTAGTAAATGGATATTTTAAGGCTACCTTTAAAATAAATGTAAACATCTGTCTACATTCTAACAAATTGCAATACTCCTATAAAATGCATTTAATTTAACTGGAAAGTTTTTAATTGCCTCCCCCACCAGATGTAATTCAATTTGAAATAAACAAATTAGAGTTTCATTCTCACTTTGATTCTAGCAAAGCTTGGATGGTTTCTGAGTGCAAAAATCTGAGTTTGAGGCATGTTTAACAGCTACCTTGAGGAAAGATATTTTAATTTGATCTGCTTTTCCCCAACAATTTGTATTTCAGTGTTCAGCTTATGAAAGCAAAAGTTTCCATCATAAGTCCCCCACTTTTTTGCTTTAGGCAATATAGGTTAGAGGAACAAGTTAGAGGAAAAAGTTAAAACTAAAAATTAGGAGACATTAAATAAAAGTGATTTTATTTTTCTTGATTTTTTTATTTAAGAGGAATTGTCTTTTGGCTCACTCTGACTTAAATTGTTTGTGGATCATGCTCTTACTTTTAATGGTTTCTTCACACACACACAAAGCCCCATCAAACACAGTGAGATTTGTGTCTGTATAAAAGTGCAAGCTTACTGCTGGATTTAAGGTGAAAGTATTCTTATAATATAAGTAGTATTCTTGTAAATAATTTTAAGTTCCTTGTACTGTTTCCTGGTCTGCTGTTTTGCAGTTTTATTTAAATCAGTAATGTAGACCTTTTGCTTCATTTTCTGCACTGTTAACCACAGCAGGTCTGGTTGTTAAATAACAATGAACTGAAGAGATTTATTTTGGCATAGTCATTGACTGCTTTTATTGTTGAAAGATGCTATTATAAATCAAGTCACCACTATCAAAACTAGGCATAAAGCCATAGTAATATATATGTTGCATAGTTTTCATTGACAGTGATCACAGAAAGGCAACTATTTATAATGAGGGGGCTTTTCTCACTGTAATGAATGAATATATCACAGCATTGTGTGGTATTTGTTATTATCAAATTATTAGGAGATAGCAGCTCTTCATAAGTAAATGCACTAGCACTATATATGCTTATTCATAACCTGCAATAGTTTAAACTTAGGTGCTTTTTAATGAACTGATGGCCTGTGATAACAGTTGCTATAAAAAGGAAAGTTACAGGATACTGCCATCACAAAGAAGACTTCTCAGCATGTTCTTTCTGTTTCAGTGGATATGAGCTGAGAAGTTGAGATCATTGCCTGATGTTTACAAATTTATAATGGGTTAAATGTTCTCTAGCATCTCATGTACATATGGAGGAAATAATTCAGCATTAAGGTTATTTATAGCACTATTGGAAACTGAAGCTGTATTTCCATAGATAATCTGCAGTTGTGTGAAGGAAGTATTTTAGGAAGTATTTTTGGAATTATTTTTAGGAAGTATTTTCAATTAGAGGGAGTGAGAAGTTTTCATAGAAATCCAAATAAATCCTCCACTTGACCCACAAGATAAGAGGATAGGTCCACACATGGATTCATACTTAAGTATCAGACAGTAGACAATAAGAATAAATGGATAGTATTCACCTTGAAGGAGTTTATGCAGTGAATCTATTAGCATGTGCTATTTTATTTATTATCATTATTTGTTAATTGCTTTTCATGGCTGAGCCATCACAGAGAACACATACAAAATGAAAAAAACATGAATAAGGTAGAAACAACTAAATAGATGTGCTTGTCTTAGTTCAGTTAAAGTACTGTTTTAAATGAGCTGAGTTAGGGACTTGAATACCTGCACTGAGGGTGTAGTGTCTAGAGATGTTAAAATTGGCTATTCCCTTGACAGCAGGAGTAAAGGAGTGGAATCTACTGGAGTGTCATTGTGTGGACCAGTGGCTGTTCTCTATGTTGTGCTCAGGCCAGGATGTTTTGAGGTTTTTGTTGTTGTTGTTTGAAGCAGTTTTTCGAGATGATGAGATGGTGTGGTCTTGGTGCATGATTGTACTCTGTTCACAAGTTATGGGGAAATTGACCAACTGATGCTTGTAACCATGAGAAGCTATGTGCAGAAATAATCTGCAGAACGTTGTTGGCAGAAGTTTAGGCAAGAGCAACTTACTGCAGCTGAGAATGTTGGGTTCTGGGATGTCAGAGTGGAAAAGTAGTATTGCACTCCTATGAGTTCTCCCCCTCCGCTCCTCTGGTTGTGCCCAGTTTGTCCCTACCCACATGGAAATCTAGTGAAGGCAATTGAAATGGCCAGAGGAAATAGTTACTGAGAATCCAGGAAGAGGAGTTCTTCCCCAGAGCCATCCCTCTCCCAAGGGATGTTTGGGCTGTTGAGACAGATAAAGGGCAAGAAAAGCTCTTAGGGAAGCAAGGAATGTTATACTGGGAATTTTTACCCAAACTGCAAGGGTTAAGTGATCTCTCAGTTGGCAGTTGGTGGTTCCTAGTAAATTTGCAAATTTACTTGCAAATTTTGGAATTTGCTAATGATGCAAGGCTGAGATAAAAGAACCCAGTGTCAATTATCTGACAGGTTGGGGTTTTAGTGGCCAAAGCAGTATAGGATTTTTACCAATCTTGTGAAATGTGGCAGAAACTGGAATGTAGTCAGAGTGATTGGAAAGCTCTCTTGTAGCCCTTGCCTCTGGCAGAAACACCATTTGGAAGAGTGGGGATTGATATTATGATTTCCTTTACTCCCTTCACCCAAGTTATGCAGAGCCCATGGGTATTTGTTTCAGCCTTCATCTTGGCCTGGATCCCATTTCCAACCACTGCTCTATTAAGAACAGGGTTGTAAAGTTAGTCAGAGTCATAGAGTTGGAAGCAATTCTTGAGTTTCTGGAGTCAGTGTTGGTAAAAATGTAATGGCTTCAACCCCTAATAAATTGAAAGTGTAATATAATATGACAACATTTCTTATTTCACAGATAGTAATTTGATTAACCTATTTTCAGGCTATATTTTAATTTCACATATCAGTGAACATGGCAGCCCATGAAAAAATTCATACAGGCAAAAAAGTGTCAACAAAGTCAGCTGTTTTTGAACACTACAGTAATAACAGATGGGAAATATTATGTGTGTACCTATGTTATAGAATATGATCATTGTGAAAAAGCATGTGTTGCAAGCATTAGTAGTTTTTGTAGTTCTGATAAAAATGCATCTACAAGAGCATCAAATTTAAAAAGACACTTGCAGCATTTTTTAGGTTGAGTGCTTTCAATCAATATAGGAAATAAATATTTAGTATATTTATTTCCTATATTGATATATAAGTAAAGGAGTCAGAGTTGAAGGTACCATAAATTGCAGAGTCAGGATCAGAATCGAAGGTTTTATGTACTGGCTCCACAGCCCTGGTTAGGAATGCCTAAGACATTGCTATTTACTACAAAATGCATAAGTTTTGCTTCCTGTCTGTTGCAAAAAATATGAGAGACTGCTGGAGTGGGGCATTTAACTTCCGTTCCCTGTCATCATGAGATTAATGGGTTGGTAGAACTGTTGAATCAGACAATTGGCAGTGGGTGAATTTATGCTTGGAACAGCCATTGCTCTACTTAACTGTCCTTACCAGGATGCCCCACAGGAGAATCTAGGGCTTTCCTAGACTGAAGCTGGGACAAAAGCTGCATGCTCTCTAGCCATGTAAAGGCCAGAAAATATGTGTGTGGGGGGGAGTTGAATTCTAGCCCATAGTTGGTGGTGGCCTTTATGCAAAATTTACAAACAATTCTGAAGGACATACAAAAAATTGTACATAACCCTTTTTATTTGAACTCGGCAGCTGTTGCACTTGGTAACTGCTTTGGTCAAAATTTTCTAGTAGCTGAGCTGATCTAATTTGGCATTGTAGTCCATCAATTCATCTGTGTCCCACTAAGGGACAGAAATTGTTAATGTTTACATGCTGACAGTCCACAATTCATTGGCTTCTTGCTCAGCAGTGGAACAAAATCTTGTGCTTTTATCCTAGTCAGCTTTGCAGGGCTGTGTCTGATTAGGCTATTAATGACTGTTTCTGTAATATTACTGGTAAGATAGGGAAACCCCCCCAAATAATCTGCTGTCTCTAATTTAATGAGGAAACAACGTATATGGGAATGGAACCTTTTTTCAAACAAGTGCCATATCCATCATAGGGCCTAGCAGTATGGACTTGCTTTAAATTGTTAAAAATGTTTTAAATTTTTAATGTAATTTCATGATGTCTTATACTTTATCTTTGTTTTATTTACTGTTGTACATTGCCTAGAGAGCTTCAGCTAGTGGGTGATATAGAAATAATATAAGTAAATCCCGTGAGGTAATTTGTCAGGAGGTGCACAGTAATAGCGAGTAGGGTGGGAGTTGGAAGCAGACAGAGGACTTTTTCTTCTTTTTCTCTTTCTGCCAGCATGCTGCTGCAGGAGGGACAGATACTTTTTTCCAGACATCTGAAATTGCTGTCAGAGGGTTCCTCACATTCCACTTCCACTACTCAGTCTGTTTTGGATATAGCCTTGACCTCTTTCTCTCTCTCTAGGCTTCCCCCAGCAATATGGAATGAGGTTTGGGGCCCTCTGCAACAATCAACCATAGGTTGTCCACTTCCGCCTAAACATTATAGAAAATACTTCACTAGATAATGTTATTCAGCATTACGATTTGGACTAGAGAACTTCCAAGTCATTAATTATGTCCAGAATCTTCAATCCAATGTAGGCTCCTTAAAGTATTTCTTTTTTCTTGAAGATGATCACAACTGTTGAGATACTGGTGGTGAAGGAATTTGCTAACCTTGATTCCTGCCTCTTTTTTTCTCAGTGAATGTAGCCCTTGCACTGGCAGCAAATGATTCAGTAAGTAATAATTATTATTTCAGTATTAATAAGCATCTTAACAATTTGCTTTTAAGCTCAGATTTTTAGTGTTTGCTTCTTCAACAATATAGTGGTTTCATGGATGAATTCAGATGATGCAGTGGAAAATGCTTGCCATTCTCTTTGAGAAATCTTACCAGTAAGAATCTGAGATGGGTGTGAGATTATGATTTTTTTCAACTGTGCCCATACATCATGAGAAACAACTCTGTATGGTTTCCACACTTCGCTTTTTTTTTTTTGCGTGGATGCGCCTGACAGATGATCAGGTTTCTTTGGTAACTCACCTACCTCCTGCCATCTCCTTATGTCTCAGTCCTTCAAGCTATATCCCGAGAGACACTGTGGGGAGAAATGAGGCTCCCATCTTTGACAGCTACAATCACGACTCAGGTTTGACTCATTGTGGCTGTAAAGCATTCACCGATGTGCAAACAGAGCAGAGAACCCTGAAGCACAGCAGAAAGGTTGGCGGAGCTCATCAGGCACCCTCACCTCCTGCACCAGAAGGAACCACAGAAGCAAGAGTGGGTGTGTGTGCGTGATTCACATCCAGGGGAAAGGAGGGGGTGAGAAATCACCCAGGCAGAGATGCAGAAAGGAGCAGTGCCGTTCAGTTTCTTCCCCCTCTGCATGCTCCGGAGGGAAGTCTCACATGTGCATGAGTGTGTGGGAGGGGCAAGAAGCCCTTCATGCACATGAGTGGTGAGAATCAGCTGGATGTGGCGCCTGGTTGCTGGCAGTGCCGCTCAGCTGATTCCCTGCTCATCCCCTTTCTCACATGCCAGAGAAGTATCCCCAACCTGGCATTCACCCAAGCACCCTTCTGGTGAGCAGCTGTGATGAAGGGGGAGGCAGTGCTGGTCCGCTGTCTTGCTCCCACATGCCAGAGAGGTGTCTCCTGTGAAGCAGATGGGAGGTGGAGATGTCTCTGACAAGCAGGAGCAAGAACAGGGGCAGCAGCAGGGGAATCCACAGAGTTGTACAGCTTTCATCTGGGAATCACTGGCCAGCTGAACTTCACTTCTCCCTCAAACACTGGAGAAATGATGTTCTCCTTTCCCAGTGCCAACTAGTTGATTGTCCAATCATGCTTGAAGGAAGATCTTTAGACTAGGAGGTGGGTGGTGTGGGGACATCTCTGACAACTGAGCAAAAGGACAATTATCTCTGTCTGGCTTGCCATTTGGCAAGAGTGGCAAAGAGCTACTCTTGCCAAGTGCTGGTTATGGGACTATGATAAGTTGTGTCCATTCATGGTTTCTAAAATCCAAATATACCATTCTGAAACACTGCAATAGGGTTGAGATGACACAGCATTCCAACAAAAGTTGTTTAAAAAAACCTGCTTGTGAAGCTGTGCAAACTTGCCCATTGTTTACTACTGTGCTAAATATATTGGACACCACTTGTACATTACAGCCTTAGAGTTCAGTAATTGATCAGGTAGTTACTTTACATTAAACAAATCTCTATTTTTATTCACAAGAATAACCTGACTATTTAGGAATGTGCATTTCACTTTATTAGTTTGGTACTTTGTTTTGCCTTTTTGTACTGGACTTGAATTTCAGTTTTATAGTCTTTTTAGCAGAACGTTCACAAGTCCCTGCATCATTGGTCCAAGACACAATCTAGACTTTTCAGCCAGCTGTGGAGGTGAGAGATTTTGAATTGGTCTCTTTGTCATAGTCAGATCATGGCTGCTTTTCCATTTTGCAACTGCTAAGTTGTTCTGTTCCCATAAACTAATGGATTGGAATGGGTTCCAGCGGAGCTTTTCAGTATGATATAGTTGGGTATGCTGTCAAACTTCTGCGGATGTGTGGATCAGAGAAATGGCCTGGGTAGTTCATACCATTGCTGAAAGCAACGAACCAAAATAGAAGACAGCTCCAGTGCAAATGCAGAAAAGCTCCTGGCAGGTACCATTGAACACTGGCCTGTGCCTGTGCTTAGGTATGTTCAAGGGCAGTGAATATAGCAAAGAAACATTATTTACCTCTGTTGTGTCCTTTGTATGTGCTGCCTAATGGAACTTTTCAGTGTCATTCAGTGTGTATTACTTGTAGGTTATAAGATTTGCTGTGTTTTGTTTGCAAGTCACTTCTAAACTAAAATCTCTTATATCCACCAGAACGTAGACTCCAGGGTTACAGCAGGAGAATCGGTGAAATATACAGAGAATAGTGCTGTCTAGTTTTGTTGGACAAGTTTCAGTTAAAGGTTTTTTTTTTTTACCATGTTGGAAACTTCCTAGAGATCTTTGGCTATTGGGTCTATTAAAATGCAACAAAAGACATGAAGAGACTACCAAAAAGACTTGTGCCAGTAATTCCTGGCTCATAGCTTAGTATCTAAAAGAGTGTTTCCCAACCTGGTGGCCGTTAAATGTGTTGTACTCCATCTGTTTTCACTGCCAGTATACTTGTTGCATTATGGCTAGCTTGGGCTGTATGATGAATTAGTGCGCTATAGTGAGTAAAGGACTCGTGCTGTTTGTGGCTGGCATTTAAAGAAATAAAGCACAATCCATCTGAATGAGACCAAAATGTATTTTACATAGGCTAAGTCTTTCAGTAAGCAAGCATAATATTGAACTAAAGCTGATGAAGTAAGATTAGAGTGCTCAGCGTGGATTTACTAGTATATTGCAATGAAAAGTTTCTTGAAAATTTGTCAGGTTTTCAGGGACTGGAAAAAAGGGAAACAATTTAGGGAGAAATAATTCAAGAGAAACAGATGTTTCATTAATGTTTTATATAGAAGTAAATTTTTAAAAATCAGTGTATTGGAATTAATTACTTGATTGACGCTAATGGGAGTCACCTGGCAAGTCCTCAAACAGAGCATATAAAATGTTTCATAATTAGTGCTTGGTATCACAGACAGTGCAGTTCACAGTAGAGACACAATAGGTTGAGCAGTGTAGCTCAGTCTATTGTAACAGATCATCGTGGTTAACAGCAAGCTGTATCTGTGGTAGTTTTGCTGCTTCAGTGCTCCTTAGGAAAAATTAAAGTTCTGCAACCATTCTTCAGTTTGTTTTCTCTTTAGTAAAAATAAGGGGTTTCCCAAGCATTTACTGATTTTGTAGTTTGCATGGTAAATGAGGTAAATGGCAAGGCTAAGAGTGTGGAGAGCATCTGGGAAGTGTAGAATAATGCCACTTGATCTCACTGTGGCCTTACATTGTCCTCAGGATTGGACCCACACCTGCAGCAGCAAGATAAAGATAGGTGGTTACCTTGCACAGCTGTAATAAGAATGGCTGAGATAATGTATATGAAATGTGTTGTGAATACTACATAAATACCAAATATTATTTTTATAAGCCTGGAATTTAACCCTTTGCTTCCTGAGTACAACTCTTCTTCCAGGAACTAAAGCTCCTTGCATAAGTGGAACAAAAATTGAGGGTTTTCAAGGGAGATATAACAGTAATATATCTGTTTGTTTGTTTGTTTATCACTGTCTTGATTGTCATAACAATAAAGAATGTCATGACATTGAAAAGCAAAATGCCTCATGTTTAAATTTAAATACATAATATACAAGGGAAATTGAGGCAATGGATTTGCCTTTATTTCAGCTTTGAAATGTAATGAAACCTTATTTAGGAAGATTAGGCATGCTAAATTTGTTCTTGTAATCAGACATAAGGCATGGGATGTCTTTTTTAGATTGAACTGGTGAGTGAATTTCATTTTAGTCACACATGGTATAAAGGAAGTGGTATTGCTGAACTTTTCTATGACTGAGAAAGAACAGTAAGAATCTATAGTATATAGACTTTCTCTTTTGAAAAGAGAGATTACATTCCCAAGATTTTGGTTAAAATGCTACATTCACCTTATCTTTATTTCTTGGCAACACCTTGAAGCTGTTTCTGATGGGCAGATATGTACAAATTGATGTGTTCAAAATACACATTTCAAACTATTGTTCACAAAATATTATACACAGTTGTAAATCAGCATTACAGGAATGTTGTGGGCTGTATGTTCCTGAATGGAGAACTATATGCACAACTTTTCTTCTGCCTGGGGTTTTTAAGTTATAAATTTGTCTTGTACTTGTATTCCAGACTAGTTGAGTGAGTTAGAATCTTGTGTGCACATTTATATATGAATCTTAATACTCTCCAATTGTTATACTGCCTTCTGGCTTAGTGACTCCATAAGACATATCTAGACATGGTTTCTTGGGCTTTTGGGTGGACGACTATGTGTTAAACCAGAAATGTGAGAAACTTGCAAAAAGTAGAACATTTATGGTTTCCTCCTATTCCTTTTATAGTTGCTGTTGGAGTTCTATAGACTGGGCAGATGTTTTATGGAATGAATATGTATCTGTGCTTTAGTGACAGTGTGTACCATTTTGTAGTGGCTTTCTTAAGTCCACACAGGTATCATTGGTACAGCTGTTTTCAGTATTCAAACTCCAAAACAGGTCTAAGAAACCATTTGTGGCTGTCTCTCATTATGGATAAAATAACTGAATTGATGGAACAGTTCTGCTTCAATAACACATATAAAGGTCATGCCATGTCAAGTATTGCTTTAAGCAAATGGAACATTTGGGCTACTCCTGGGTTACTAGATATGTAACAACTTTGAGTTACCTGATAGTTACAGTTGGCTTAGTTAATTAGTGGCAAGAGTGACTGCTTTTTTAAAGACTGTATTGAGAATTTCTGCTGCTTCCAACCCCCTCCTACCCTGAAAGTAATAGGCTCTACACTAGTATCTTCTTAATTGCCTGTTTAGTTTTGACAGCACAATCTTTTTAATCCCTTTGAAATGGCAGTAGCCAGCCAGTTCTGCTCCCGCAGGAGCCCTCCAAGGAACATTTGGCTCTTCTGCCAGGCTGACTTGCATTCATGCTAGGGCAACTGTTTTACAAATGCTACATTGCCACAGACAATTTTTTATAGCAGAAACAACCCAAATTAATAGAAGCCAGCCATAATACATCAA